ATCAATCCACACCAGTATTCCAAAACACAGCTTTAAAACCCATGCAAGTCCCCTGGACTGGGAATTTAGTAGGTGCTCAGTGAACCTATTTCCTTGTTTTGTCACCTTCCCATGCAGCTGGTCCCTTCTCTGGGTTTTTACAGCACTATCTGTAGTCTTCTGAAATCATTAACAGGTTGACATATGACCGTTGGCTTATAATTGATCCCTTCCTGGGTTCTGGATCAGAATCACTTTTTTTGCCCCCATATCAGACCTGCTGAATTAGAATCTTTGAGAGTGGGGCTAACATTTACATTCTATCCAACTCTCTGGTTGATTCTTTGTACCTAAAGTTGGAGAGCCAAGAGACCCTGTGTTGGCCTGTGGAGATCTCTCAAGGCAATCTGAGGGTTAACAGTGACACAACTGCCTCAGGTGGAAGTGAAATGGATTTTATTCCTTTAACAAAAATGTACTGTGAGCTAACTAGGTTGTAGGTGTTTTGCAAAAACCTAAAAATAGCACATCATATAAACAAGTCATAAAAACAGCCACACAATCAAGTATTTGTAACATGCATTCATAGTTTAAAAAGCACTCTTCCATTTGTCATCTTAACAACTTGGTGTCGGTGGAATCAGGACTCAGAGCTAGGTATTCATGCACCAGCCTGGGCTGCCCCTGTGCTCCTATCCTGTTCCATTGACAGAGGAAGAGGAGGCAGGCAGCAAGGGCAGGTTGTCTGCATGGGGAGCTGTGAACGGCCTCACAGAGGACAAGCAGTAAGTAGCTTATCACTCATTTGGGGAGAAGACAGAAGATGAGAGGGAGGCAGGCATTTTGTTCCCACAGTTCAGACTGGAGGACCCCCACAAGGCTGAAATGGCTGCACCATGGCCATTCAGAGCAACCTAGGGATGGAAAGTGACCCTCCTCAGGAGAGGGGAATTTAGGCCACAGATGGAGACAGCAGAATGCTGACACAAAGTTGTGTAGGAAAACAGTGACTCCTCTAAAACATACCTAAAATGAGCTCCAAAAATATAAAGGGGATACCATTCTCTGCATCTCACTGGGCTCATAAAAGTCCCTAATTTAGTCCTGGTCCCTGGAGAAACCCCAACAAACCCATCGTTCTTTGATAAACTTTTAGCCCACATTAACCCGAAATTGTATCCTCTAAAACCTCTTATTGTCCAATGGTGTTGCCCCTAAATTGATTGCTGAGCCTTTTCCCACCACCTTCAAAGTGCCCATTAGCTGATTCTAACATACATCACCCAGAATAGGGCAGCCACCAGGGGAAGGGCTTGGAATATCTACATCCATATTCCATGAATTCTGTGTGCATGATAGTTCACCAAATTTCACAGCAACTTGTAGTAACTGGATCCTGAAGGCATTAGCAGAATTCTGTCATGGACAGCAAAGGAGAGGGTATTCCAGTCATGACATAAGTATTTGCCAAAGTCAAATTAAGAAAGTGATCAGTCATACTTAATCCTGGAAAACTGAGACAGGAAAATTATCCATCACATTCATGCACCTCTTTCCAAACCACAGCTAAGGCTGGATTTCCATGCAAACATGCTAAGCAGACCAGTGGCTTTATCTTCCCCTCACAACACACCCTACTGTGGCACAGCCTGTGGCTCCAGGGCTTTCTGTCCTGTGTCTTGCAACAGAGTGTTTGTTGATCAGACCTCTTCTTTGCTCATGAGGCAGGACACCACCATATGGACCACAAGAGCTGTCATGCTGGCTGACAACTGGGCCCTGGTCAGTTCCTTTTATCTTTTTAACCTGCTGGGATGTCCCAAGAAGGGCCATGGTTTCACTCCTGAAACTTCTTTTTTTTTTTTTTACATTTATTTAATTTTTGAGAGACAGAGGCAGAGCACTAGTCGAGAGGGACAGAGAGAGAGGGAGACACAGAATCCGAAGCAGGCTCCAGGCTCTGAGCTGTCAGCACAGAGCCCGACGTGGGGCTCAAACCCACAAACCATGAGATCATGACCTGAGCCGAAGTCAGATGCTCAACTGACTGAGCCACCCAGGCGCCCTTTACCCCTGAAACTTCTAACAGGAGGCTCCCTACCTGCCCTGGGCACGTCCTCATTCTATCTCCTTCCACCTTTAATTCATATGTAGAAGAGGCCAGGGACACTAGCTCTGAATATAGGTGAGGTAGGTGGATATGGTGCAGCCAACACTTGTCCCAGGGGCATGGGGACAGTCACTCTGAAAACGCTTTCCCACATGGAGCCCCTTTGACCGGGACACTGGCCACATCTTGCACGCAGGTGCTCCCCCACTGGGCACGTGCACCCTGACTTATGGATTGTTGGCAGGACCAGCCGACACTCCAGCATCATGGCCCAGAGGGGCTGTCCCTGCACTGTCAAATTGCTCCACACATGTTTGCTGGCCGAGTGTCCAGGCTTCACACTCTGGTTCCAGAAGACTACAATGGCCTGATGCCAGGGCTGGCCTGCACCCTTCCCTATGATCTCTATGAGCTAGGCCCAGCCCAAGATGGCAGCAGCAAAGGCAGGTCAACCCACAGCCCTTCAGGGACTACAGACTATGCCAGGCAGTGGCTCCTGTCCCCTCAGGGCTTTGGCTGGGCTGCAGATCCATTTCACGCCATGCATAATTTTATGTAAGTGCATATGCTTATGTATGTATACAATTCTTGAAGTTGTACAGTCTCCAGCTTCACCATCCCATTGGATTAATAACTGGAATTTGAGAATTTGATAGCATGTAGCTTTTGTGATACTCGACCTGCATTCTGTGCATCTGGGTGTTTAGTTTGGGTGTACACATGGCTCCCTAGACTCATTGGGCAGGCTCATCCTTCTGGAGCCCCCAGAGGGCCGTGAACCATCAGACACCACCCCTCACGCCTACACTGTGTCCTCCTACCTCTAGTGCCCTCCCCTTCATGGTCTCAGGTTAGGAGACTGTCATCATGAGGAACCAGACACACACTGCCACCCACCAGCACCTCTCAATGGCAGTGGCCTCAGGAGCCCCAGCTACTTGGGAGACAGGGATCCCTCTGAGCCAGATATGTGGTGCCCCCTCATGGCCAAACTAGTGAAACTCTCCTAAGTGTGTCACAGAACTCCTTTATGGATGTTGAAGCAGGACAGAGCTAGGAAACATAAACAGAGAGGGTTGCCCTTTGCTGCATTACCCCACACCAACCTGCTCCCCACCAGTCTGGGGCTCACCCATGCCAGAAATTCCTCACTATGGACAGTCTTCAGAACATCTACTTCCCTTCTTTCTGTCAATATCAGTGCTAACAGTAGAGGAAAAAAAACATGGACTTGTTCATACTAAAGTGTTATTGACTTAGCTTAAGGATATGCATATCCCTAATATGTGAATTTTAAGATTTCAGCATCAGTGTGGTGATGCTGAAATCATCCCCCAGTAGCCTCTAACCCTGCAGACAGGAAGGTGAGAAGAGGATGTCTGCCTTCTATCCATCTGAGCCCTGTGACCAAAGCAGACTCTTTGATAGGCATCACTGACTCAGTGGCTATACTTACAGACTTCCGTGTGCTGCCATTGTTTTACGCCATGTGCCCTGCCACCTAATTTCCATTGAACATTAAAAAACTGAACTCTATTAAAGCCATAAAAATGGTCAGATTCCAAGGCAAGCGTGTTGTTCTAAAAGCACCTCTGCATGTACACACTTTCTCTTTCACAAACAACTCTCTAGATATCAATGTTTCCTTATGTGCTTCAGTGTAATCAGCACATGCTGAGGGAGGCTGAGGTGCCCCTTCACTGACAGTGATATGCAGAATTCAGAGCAAACATGGTGGCTGGTCCAGGCCACCCAAGGACACTGCCTGGATCTTTTCTTTCTCCAGGTCTGTGTTGCCACCCCAACCTGGCTGTCATTTACATATTGAGAGTCTGCTTTGAGCTCCTAGGATGTGAGACTAAGGAGAGAAGCTCCTTCAGGGCCAAGAGAGTACTAAATGGGGCCTCTGATGACCCTATACTGGTCGTGCCTGCCACTGGTGTGGGGTGTGTGGTGGGGAGTCCTCCATGAGAACTGGGAGTGAACTATGGAGCAGGAGAGGTGTCTACACATCCTAGTAGGAGAGCGTATCGATAGCCTCATGATTATAAGGGCAGATTCTTCTGATTATCTCATTAGTTTTGTATGTAAGGAGCCACGACCTGAATGTTGTCATATCCTGTAATAGCTCTCTTAAGATAAGGAAGCCACCTGCTGAGTGAAGCAGTTTTATCAGGGTGTTTCCCATTGACAGAATTCAGGGCATGAGGAGAAGTTGCCCCCATGGGGGGCTGCTTCAGCTCTGAGACCTCAGCTCGGGTCCTCCCTGCCTGCAAATGACTTTCTTGGGGAATATATGTGATGCACACATGTGCTCGCGCGCACACACACACTGCAGGTTTCTTGTGTGGTATAAATAATTTTGTGCCAGAAAAGTTTGAATACAGTGTTGCCCAGTTTCCAAATGAAGCTGTGTCTAGGATACATGACCTTTGCTTCTATAAACCCGGTGGGGGTTGAGGAAGCTAATCTCAGCCTGATGTAAAATAATTACACACTTCTCCCAGGTAAAGAAAGACAAATGATGTTGACTCCTGGCTCTTTGGAGTCTTACCAGTCTGGGACGGTCCTGTGATGGTGAGGAGGTGTGTTGTCGGGAGGGCCCCCCCCCCGTCCCCCCACCTCCCTATTCCTGCAGCACTCTCTCCTGGGAACAGCACACCCTCTCCTGGGAATAGCACCTTCTGGTCTGCCCCAGGGCCTCCTGGGTCTGTTCTGGGCACTTGCACCAGATTTGGGGAAAGGAAAGAAAACAAGAGTTGGAAAACCTTTCAGTCTTAGCTTTGTTTTCTTCCTCTAACCAGCTTAACAAGATTGTTTAAAGTTTCCAAATAAGATTATACTTCCCTCCTCCAACAAGGGCATTTAGGAGTATTAACCCACTGGATTTCAATTCTGTGTGTCTTTCCAGAAAGAGAAGAAAAGTGGACTGCTGAAGCTTCTTGCTGGGGCGTCTACCAAGAAGAAATCTCGCTCCCCACCATCCATTTCTCCAACCCACGATGCCCTGGTGGCAGTGGACACCTCACTCCAGGGTGCCGTGGGACCCGAAGTATCCTCACTGTCCATCCATGGCAGGGCAGGGTCCTGCCCCATAGAGAGCGAGATGCAGGGTGCAGTGGGGATGGAGCCACTGCACAGAAAGGCAGGCTCCTTGGATCTGAACTTCTCCTCATCTCCCTCCAGGCAAGCGCCTCTCTCCATGGCTGCCATCCGTCCGGAGCCCAAGCCTTTGTCCAGGGAGAGGTAAGGGCAGGGAGGGTGGTCTCATATCCTCTGGGGCCTTGGTATGGGCTGGTCTCTGAGATTGGAGTCATTTTGGGGGAGCAGTGACAATAGGGATTTTCTGAGGATTAAATTTACCAAATGTCCCTCTTACCCACATCTACTCAGTTCCTGAGCTTGGATGGTGAGCATCAGATAAAAGGCATTAGGGGGGCGCCTGGGTGGCTCAGTTGGTTGAGCATCTGACTTTAGCTCAGGTCATGATCTCGCAGTTCATGAGTTCGAGCCCCACCTCGGGCTCTCTGCTGACATGTCTGAGCCTGAAGCCTGCTTCGGATTCAGTGTCTCCCTCTCTCTCTCTGCCCCTCCCCTGCTCGCTTGCTGTTTCTCTCTCTGTCTCCCTCAAAAATAAAAAATAAACATTAAAAAAAAAGATAAAAAGCATTTGGGAATGAAGAGGAGCCTATTTCATGTTCTGAATCCATACGGGTCCTGAGTTTGGGATTTGCAAGGGATTCATCAGGAAACTTGGCAGAACTGATGGGGCACTGAGCCCAGAGAGTGAGCAATGATGCTAGTGAGAGGACTGTCTCCCCTCAACCCTGTGGGAAACCTGGAGTGGATCCCTGGACTGAGTCCCATGGCCTGTGTACCCCACCCCAGAGGCAGCTTTTCTTGAGGCTCAACCCACTCTGACATCTTAGAATTATAAAACATTACCCCCAAATTGGCCTCAAGGTATATAGTCTGTTGGGTTAAACCATACAAAAGTGACAACATTCATTTTTTTTTTACCAAAACCAGAAATTTCATAGAGTTCAGCCTAGAGTTATACAGAGCAGTAAACTGAGTCCACCGAGGGCCCTCACGTGCTTGACTTTTATAAGGGGTCAGAGGCTGGCATCTTGCTCAGCTGATGGGCCCATTTGAGTTAGTCCTTAGAGAGCTTCAGATAAGGGCTGAAGGCACTCCAGTGAGAGGTGATGGTGTCCAATCTGGATAGCACAGAAGTACTTTCCCTTCTATGTGCCTTCTTTGTTGGAACGCTGCTTAAATAGTAAACATGCGAGCAGTCTCCTCAGGAAACAGTCCTGGCATTTCTGTCTGAATCCTCCCTCACCTCAGACTCACTGCCTGATGGCCAGCTCCTCCCCATGGACCCCAGTGCTGAAGCCTGAGAAGGGCACCACTGTCCTGAGCATCCACTAACCCCCAGTGCCAATGCAGGGCTAGTTAAGTTCTGTCTAAATGGGGGGTGACACGCCTTTTCTGTCAAGGCCTAGATAGTAAATTCTGCAGACACTGCAGGTCTCTGTCACAACTCTCACCTCTGCTGTGCCGGCATGAAGGCAGCCATAGACAATATGGAAGCAAAGGGCGTGGGCACTCCAGTGAAACTCTACTTATGGACACCAAAATTTTAATTTCATTTAATTTTCTTGTGTCATGAAATATTTTTCTTATTTTGATTTCTTTTTCAACCATTTAAAATTGTAACAGCATTCTTAGCTCTCAGACCACACAAATAAGCTGCAGTCCACTTTGCCAAGGCATACCCAGATGATGGGTTTCAGGGCTGGGTTGATGCTGTGGTGTTGAGATCCAGCGCCACTGAGAGAACAGTCTCCACGGGCAGCAGAGGGACAACATGAGCTGGTTACGGATTTCCGATAAGCAGTTGTCATGTCAGTCCATATTTACACCTGTTTTTAGAATGAAAGCTCTGTGCTCTGTGCAGGGGGAGATTCAGACACTCAACAATCAGTATGGACTTGGGCCATAAACACCCAGAATGGCCATGCTGTGTATGCAGCTTAGCATCTGCTGGCATTGTTCTAGGTGCCTTGTGTGTGTTACCTCAGGTGATTCTTGTAACAACCCTACGAATTTAGTATCCCCATCTTCTTGAAAGGCTAAGTAACTTGCTCGAGATCACACAGCTAAAAGTAACTAGCCAAGCCAGAGATTGAATTCAAGGCTTTCCAGCCACAGAGCCTGGTCTCTGAACCACTTTGAGGGGCATGGTCAGCAGCTGCCCAAGGTGCAACTTGCCCACAAAGGGATCTGGGTGTCTCTGGCTTTAAAACAGTATGGACCGTCTCACAGCCTTGCCAGGATATCAGCATCTGCCTCTGGATCCTCAGCAATTGATCACCACCCCCTTGTTGGTTCAAGATATACTTGCTGTCCAAACTCCGTCACAGCAGGATCCATTACTGTGAGGTGCGTTCCCCACAGCAAACCCCCAGGCCCTGAGGAGACTGGATTCACACCTTACCTCACATCACACACACACACACATACACACACCCCCACCACCACACCCATACCACACCCCACACACACCAAACACGACACCACACCACATGTGCACATATAGCACATACCACACACACGCACATCCTCAGACATACACACATGCACAACATATACCACACATCTCACAGAAATACCACACAGACACCACGCATACCACATATCACACATTCACCACACACCTCATACCACACCACACACATATACACACCACACACACACACATACCACATACACACTTAACATACATCTCACACAAATACCATACTCACACACCAAACACATACCACACCACACATGCACACACACCATATACCATACACACACACACCACACACACATACACACCACACACACACTTCACACACACCATATACCACAGACACCTCACATCTCACACAAACACCACACACACACACACACACACACACAGGCACACATGTTCTCTTTCTTTCTCCATTTCCCTCCAAGGAGCCTCCTCCAACTTTGGGCAGCTCTTTCATGTCAGAACCTTCATCCTTCCATAAGACCAACCCCCAGATGCCTATGATTTCTTAATGTGGTTCCCAGTCCCTCTGCCCCAGGTAACAAAGTTGGTGGCTCCTGAGAAAGATAGGCCGAGATATTTCAAAGCTGTTCTCATGTCTCCCCTAAGTTTCTGTTCTCCCTAGATCCCTCAACTTCCAGACTCCTTAATAAAAGGTCTTAAAATACCCTGTTCTACTAAACCATGGAAGTCATGATTAACTAGAAAGATCAGAGAATTACTCTCATTCTGTGAATATTCCATCTAATCAGGGCTTATTGTACCCAGAGACTTTTGGCACCCTGCTTGTCCCCAGCACTCTGTGAAGCTCATTAGTGATGAGAGTTTTCAAAATACAGCCTGAAATGAAACTGCTGCCTAATGAGCCCCCAAATGCCCCCTTCTCTCGCCCTGTGCAGCCCCTAGGCTGCCTTGTGTCCTAGGAAGCCCCAGCATGTTGGAGCAAGGGTGTAACAATGGAAAGGCTTAGTCTTCAGGCTGGGACAGCTCCAGAAAGTGCTTGGCCTTGGGCCCTGCAGGCTTGTGAATAAAACTTAGCTCACAGCTGGAGGGGAGCAGCTGTAACAGGAATCCCTGCTATGGAGGCCCTGGGCACTCACTTGCAAGCCATGTATCTGCAGAGTGCCTGCCGTGTGCAAGGCCACTTTAAGGTTTGAAGGGGGGAGAGCAGCAAAGGGCAGGTGGAGCTCAGATTCGAGGCTTCCACCACTAGCTCACTGAGGAAGGGGCATCTCTCACCTGGAGTGGCTAGGCTCTGGGTGCTACAAGGCTGCCTCTTGCATGTTCTGAGTGTCTTCTATGTACAAACTCCCTGTGATGTAACAATTTCCCTCCTGAGGATTCAGGAAGACACTGGGAGCATCTCTCCTAACTGTTCCCAGAGGAAGGAAGTTTGGGCCGCCCAGAGGAGTGAACCATGGAGAACTCCCCCAGGTCTGGTTGGCCAGGCCTGCACGTCAGCTCACTAGAGGCAGGTTCAGCTCTCAGGAGATCTATAAGAGCCAAACTCACAGGCCTGATGTGTAAACCAGAGTGCCGATTACTAACCCTTCCTCGGGAACCTAATCCTTGGACCATCTGGACATGTTATGCCCTATGGACAATGTGCAGGGAGCCACATTTCTGGAGGTTACTTGGGGAACTCATAACAGCAGTATAGTTATGGGATCCAGTAGTACTGTCTAACGTCCCATCTCCCCAGCAGGGATATGCTGACCCTGGGCAGGTCTGGCTGAGTTCTTGGGCCAGCCGCCCTGCACCCATCCTCTGGATGCCTGCCTCCTGGCTCTCTTGAACCTCGGAGAAGTTGCAGAGTGGCTCTGAAATATTGGCACACTTACCTCTTATCATCCATTTCACCCAAATAGGCATCTTCATTTCTTCGAGTCCCAGTTCCCCCATATACAAAGTGGGGATATTAATACCTATCTGATAGTTATAATATTTGTAAAATGCATAGATCAATACCTGGGAAATTATGAATTCATAAAAAGAGCAATAATAACATATTAAATGACGTATATGATTATATGAAATGGTATGACATATACAATAATAAGATGGTGGTGCCCCCAATGTTGCCTGGCACCCCTTCCTCTACTTTTTATTGGCACACTCTTTTCTCCCATATGTTCACACACTCAGTCTATTTATCCTCACCTCTTACTGGCCTGTGAGTTGTTTGGCTTTGTTAGGATTTAAGTTTTTTTGATCTATTATGTGTCATGGTAGGCAGAACAATGGCTTCCCAAAGATGTCTGTGCCCTGATCCCCCAAACTGTGACTTACATGGGGGACTTACGTGGCCTAGAGGAATGAAGGCTGCAGGCATGATAGAAGTTGCTAACCAGCTGACTCTAAAATGGAGAGATTATCCTGGATTATCCAGGCGGGCCCAGTGTGATCACAGAGTCCCTCTAAGGAGAAGAGGAAGGCAGCAGAGAGGGTCAAAGTGATGCAGTGTGAGGACTCAACTGGCCATTGCTGGCTCTGAAGATGGAGGAAGGGGCCTTTGGCCAGGAATGTAGACAGCTTCTAAGAGCTGCAAAAAGCAGGGGAGTGCATTACTCCCAGAGCCTTCAAAAGGAATGCACTCTGGGTGACTACATTGGATGTCTGACTTAACTGTAAGATAAGAAATTATGCCACTAAGTTTGTGGAAATTTGTTATAACAGCAACAAGCACCTAATACATGTGCTGATATTGTAGCTTAGTGTTTGGGGTTTAGGCATACTCTTATTTCCAAGTTCCTAGAGGGAAACTGCTCTGTGATGATCACATCCACCATCTCGGGGGTCACTCGCCCTCAGTAGGCACTGAAGCAAATGCTCTGAAAAGCCTGCCACTCAGAGGGCCTCCCAGTGACCCCTGTTGTCAGGAGGAGAGCAGATGACACAGGAGGAGGACATGCCAAACCTCACACATAAAGCTAATTGCAATATGCAGTGGTAAGAATTCATTCTGATTTTGAGCCTTTTGATTTCCTGAATCTTATGTCTGAAAATTAGTTGTGGTTGACCTAACCTTAACTCAGCACAAGGCAGTCTCTTATAATTTATGACGCCACAGTCATAACACAGGAGTAGCTGCTGTCCTTAACTGTTCATTTGGCCCTTTGTGTCTATAACAGGGAGTATCAATTACTTTCATGCAGCAGGAAAAATAGCTCAGAGTCTTGGAATGATCTGGACAAGAACGTTAAATGCTCGACTCTTATACATTAGGCCCACATCATCCATCTGGGCTCATTAAATCATTGAATTACTCAGAAGCACCAAATTACTTTTTTTTTTCTAGCAAATTACATTTTCAGAGTTGCTTGTTTGCTTCACATCTGGCAGTTGAGGCAAAAGCCAAAACTTGTGTTTGAAGTCTGAGAAATCATCTCACTCTTTGCCTTCTCATCCTTGGGGAAGAGAAGGAGGCAGGTGTTTGGAGAAAAGGTGGAGGGTGGCAGAGAGCCACAGATAGGGCTGGTGCTGGTCTCTGTAGCTGCACACACGGCCTGAGTGCCGGACATATGGGAACTGATTTTACAGACTATTCCTACCTCCTCAAGGCCATCTGTCATCGGGGAGTGGCCAGCAGGCAGCCGTTTGCAGAGATTCTGGGCTGAGAGGAAAGTGAGAGGCATACTGTATTTTCTCTCTCCTTTATACCCCCAAAGCCAGCATCTAGAGCCTAGAGAGTTATGAGAACTGGCCCAGCCCTCCTAAACCTGCAGCCCTTCCAAAGCACTCAGCATGCCTGGCCAGCCCTGGTCCCTAAGCAGTAGGAACCCTGCTTGCCTGCCAAGTCAGACTCAGGAGTCACCTTTCTCTCTCCCCCCTGGTCTCAACAGCCTGGAATAAACTGGGACCGTGAGCTCCCCAGAGTGGAGCCTGGGTCTTCTCTGCCTGTGCATTGTCTCCTCAGCCTTCACAGCACCAATCCCAGATGCCCCAAACCATGGCTTCCCTGTCCTAACCCCAATGGGCCAGCACCCCAACCCCTCTGAGCAGGTGGTTGAAGAACGAAGACTTGCCTAGAGCTTTCACCTTAATTCTCAAACAATAGCAAGTTAAACATTCACCCACAGAACTTGCTGAAAATCCACACTCCTGGCCCCATTCCCATAGTTTCATCAAGTAGGTCTGGCACAGAGCCAGGATTCTGACCTAGAGGCCCTGAAGTCTACGGCCACATTTGAAGAAATGCTGACATAGGAACTCTTTTGGTTATAATGTCCTGGTTTTCCAAAAGCAGAATATACAGGTCAGAGGCTTCACATTTAGAGCCCCTTGAGGATCCTCAGGATATCCAGCTGCTTGGGACACCTGGATGATCTCCTTCAGAGGCCATGTGTATGGCTGTGGCTTATGGGGGAGGCAGGACCCAGGGGACAGGCCTTCACAGCCGACAGCCCAAGGAAGACTGAGGGAAAAGGAATATCCCACCTTCTTGCCCCAGCCAGTGGGCCAGGACCACAGCCAGGCACTGCCAGGGAAGAGGGGAGCAGCAGGACAGTGCCTCCTGGGGGTGGCCTTTCTAGTCCAGGTCAGGCCCTGGGCCTCTGAGTCCCAGCATTGCCAACCACCCAGTATGTGGTTCCTCCCAGGTTCATCTCCTATGCATGGATGGATGACCCAGTCCCTTAAGGCCTACTGGTCATCCTGCTCCTGGGCCATTAGTCTGGCCAACGTTCCCCTCCTATGGCCAGGGGCTGACAGCAGGAGCTGAAGTGTACACTGTGGGCTGGGGGGAGGCATTGTTTGCTGGGTGGTTGCTATGGAGCTGCAGGCCCAGAAACAGGCACCACTGGACCTCTCCGAGCCAGCTGCCACCAGCCACTGACACCTTTGCGCCTCCGCCTGCCCGGTTACTCTGGCTCCCCAGCAGCTCCACCTGACTGACAGCACCACCCCCCGGCCTCCAGGTGCCCTCCTGCATGTATGAATAATGCTCCTGTGTGCAAGTTTTGTCCTAGGCACTGGGCACACCGCAGGGAGCACAGGGTAACAGTTGCTGCTCTGGGGGCTTGCATGCTAGTGTGGGAGACCTGTGCTAAGCACTAAGCATGGTGAATAGGGCCCAGCTGGCTTGTGGAAGGAGAGATTGCTCCAGAGAGAGCATCAGGGAAGTGGCAGGCAAGAGCAGCCCGGGCAAGGGAGTCCTGAGCTGGGGGAGATTGAGGAGTGCACATGTGCTCAGAGAGCAAAGAGAACACAGAAGCCTTTCCCCAACTTTGGCTTCTGTTCTGAGCAGAGGAAGGCTGTGGTCTGCCTATGTTTTCACTGTGTAGTTGCTGACTGCAGAGAACCTGGAGTGGAGCGAGGGTCCAGCAGGGGTCCCAAGTGGGGCAGCCTCCATGATGAGAGAGGAACCCTCCAGATATGGGTGTAACTCTCCAGATGTAGGCTCTGGAGCGACTTCCAGCTAGGGGTTTTCAGGGATTGAGAGTGGTTGCATCCTCCCGGCTATAAAACCCACCCACAGTTAGGACTTGGACATTGCAGAGAAGCTTCACTTCACGTGCCCAGTGGGGTGGGCAGGTCCCTCTCAGCTCCTCCCTCCTCCCCCTCAGCATTGAGGTGCAGGCCCAGTCTAGTGTTGAGCACACCTGCCCCTGAGGAGTTCCCTGAGGGGGCAGGGAGGCACAGCTGGCTGGAGGGTGGGGACAGAAGATTCCAGACAGGCTGAGCAGCAGCGAGGAACATGGGCACCAGGGCACATGCTGGTTTGCCTTTGGTGGTGTTTTAGAACATTGACCCTCAGAGTGAGCACAACTTCTTTTTAACCTTCCTCTGAGGCCCGGTGGACAGGTGTGTGGTGTGGGATGTGTGCTTGATCCTGGGGCTCTGGATCCCCAGCCAGCTGCCAGCCAGAGGGTCAGATTTGTCTCAGATTCAGGGAGCTGTGCGTGGCAGCACCCAGCGCCCCCACCCATGCCCTGGACCTGCCGTAGCCATGAGGGGTCCTCAGGGGTCTCTGCTAAGTTAGAGCTCAGGCCCACAGCTCCATTTTGAGTCCCCTATGGGAACAATTATGTCTCCAGTTGGATTTTATGTCATGTTGGTCTGAAATGAGGTTCCACAGAGACCTCAGAGGCTGCAGGGAAGCACCCAGGTTTTTCGGAAATGAGATGTGTAAAAAATTGGACTTCATTTATGATGTGATTTCATCCAGTTCAGGTGCTAAGGTAAGATTTTTGGAGCACATTTAAAAAGAGTGACCATTTTACCATACAAGGTCCAGAACACTTTCACACATCGTGTGGGACATCCATTTAAGAGGCATCCCCCACCCTCCCTGTTCCTCAGACAAAGAAGCTGACACTCCGGAGGTCAGGACAACTAGCCTGGCATCATGCAGCCAGGACAGGACAGAACTGAGGACACAACTAAGTGTCCCGCCCATACCCCAGTGCCTGCCCCAGGACTGAAGTGGCTGTCCCAGGCCCCACCTCAGAGGAGGCCACTGTCCAAAATGGGCTGGAGGGAGAGACTGTCTCTCAGGCAAAAATGTTCCAGCTGCATAGATCGGGCTCCAAAAGGACACGGAGGGGAAATTATTTTTTAATTTTAATTAAAAAATGAAAAGGTGGTGTAAAAATTAAAATCAAAGTAGAAATTTTTAAAAGTGGGGGAAGTAACCCCAAATTATAATAATTACACCAGATGGGGAAAAGGAAAGGAAGAACAAAGAGAGAGACCTTGCAAGCAGGCCCTGGGGTGTTATCCTCCAGCCTAGGGTCAGACTCACCCAATGTGGTATCTGTTTCCCCCCCACCAGGTACCGCGTGGTGGTCTCTTACCCTCCCCAGAGCGAGGCAGAGATCGAGCTGAAGGAAGGTGACATTGTCTTTGTGCACAAGAAGCGTGAGGACGGCTGGTACAAGGGGACCCTGCAGAGGAATGGCCGCACCGGTCTCTTCCCGGGAAGCTTCGTAGAGAGCTTCTGAGGACACACTCTCCACACCCCACTCCCCAGGCATGAAGGCTCCCTGGGATCCCCAGGGCACAACAAGGGAAGTCAAGGCTGTCCTGAGGGTCCCAGGTCCCTTTCAAGGCTCCTGACATGGCCACCCTGGATGGGTGTGGGAGCCCATAACCCCCAACCAAGAGCACACCCTGGGGTTGTTCTCTGACAAAATGCTTCCCTCTGCGTAAACTGTAAAGAAATATCTTTGAAAAGAGAAGCTGCTGATGCGGGTTGATTTGCTCTGTGACTTACTGCTAAGCTGCAGCATTCTTGTTTGCTGCCTATGCAAGGCCGAAAGCTGCAGAAGGGCTGTGGGGGTTGGGCGGTGGGCATGGCGCCCAGGGCGTTTGAAGATTGTCTTTATGGGTTGCCCTGGGCTTCTTGGGGGGGGGGGGTCCAGATTGCTCCATCACCTCTCTATATACCTCAGTCACCTGCCACCTGGCCACTCAGCAAGGGTGTTCCTGGCCCAGGGCCTTTGCTGGGTCCCCAGAGTCCCTGGGGAAGCCCAGCATGCAGCTCCTGTTGGAGGCGCAAGATCGCACTTGGCTTTGTTTCCTGCCCATCGTATTATAAGCCACATGTTTCATTTTGCCGCCACTGTCCCTTTGCATTGCTTCTTTCTTACAACATCTTTTTAAAGTAAAGCTGTTAGACTTTCTATATTTCTAATAGGTCATACATTGCCTATTTTTCATACATCTGGTGCTGCCTTTTTGTAAAACCAATAATGACTTGGTTGAGCTTGAAAGAAAAAATGTCTGAGATGATAATCAAGTGGGCAGAATTTTTATATGTACCATGTGAATTTTGGAAAACTGAAAAGTCCACGCACTCAATATCAGTGTTGGCTACTCTTCTGTGGATAAGAGGGAATCCATTTAAGTGGTTGGAGGGAGTTTAGAAAAAGCCAATTTCTTTAAACCTTTACCAAAGCCCCATGCTATGTCTAGACAGTGGTAATTATTATTCAAGAACTGGAAGCATTTCAAGTAAGGGTCACTATAATTGCCTTTTGTGTGGCAGTAAAAAGAACATGAAGGTCAACCCCAGCCTAGGAAGGCAGAATTTTCCTTTTATTGCTTTAGAGAAAATGACTACAATTAGCATTATCAAAGTATGATTTCTCACTACTGAAATGTGTAGTTTTTAACCACAATTCAGATTTCCCACCCTATGATGGGTTTGTCTTTTTTTTTTTTTTTTTTTTTTTTTTTTTTTTTTTTTAATAAATGTGTCCCTATCAGGCAGTACAAATATTGGTCTAGAGACTGGAAGTACAATGAGGAGAACAAGGGATTGGAGGCATTGCTGCAGATTTGAAGAATTCAAGGGAGCTGGGAGAAGAGACAGGATGAAGAATACCTTTGATCCTGGGACCTTGCCCTGGGTGGAGTCCATTGAGGCCTCTTCATGAGCCCAGCAGCCCTGACCTGCCATAGAAACAGACTGGAGAAGCCCTGTCATGCAGGCAGTCTTGTTCTCAAGAGATTCACACCTTAAGAATACATTCTTGTCAGTTCAGAGTCACAATTCATAAACTCCCTCTCTCTTTATTTTTATAAAGTGACTCAAGTTTAAATTAGGCTGACTAAATTAGCCTTTGGTAACATAGGATCTCCCTGGTTTTCAAGGATGCAACAAAATCCAGAAACACATTCCCTTGCCTGGTGGAATGCCTTTGAAATACAAAACACTTATTTTCAGAGCTCCTATTTGGGGATGTGACTTGGCTATTTGTTACTGCCAGGTGGCTACCATGACGGTGGGATCACACCTAGACAAAGGCTCTTCTCCTCTCTCCAGATAATCATAGATTTAATAGACTTGAGAAATTTGTTCTGAATCAAAGAAAGATGAAATCCAACTTAAACCCAGGGAGCCCTACATGAGATAATGACAACCAGAAGGTATCCATTTGCCATTGGTGCCAAATTAGTTGTCTGCCATGCACAAAAATCATGTGCTTGTTTAAAATCATGCCATCACCAAAAATGTGCATGGATTAACACACTGAGGGAGACACATGTTCCTCAGTGAGACCAGAACTAACTCACATCCCCAGATAATAAGGAAAGCCTTTTTATTTTTTTTTTTTTAACGAAGGCAGTTACCAAGCAACAGAATAGACTAACTTGGACCTTCTTTCCTCTCTCAGCCACCACCCACACAATGCTCGTGGTAGGTAGGAATTGATAAACAGCCTAGTGACTGTGGGTGAGGCAGCCCCCCACCAGGGCCCAGCACCCCTCGCAGCAGAGAGCTGGGCGAGTATCCAGTGCCTTTGCAAGGCATCAACTGGACCTTCTTGTGGCAGAGTTGGGTCAGGTATTGGTATGACTTTGGGAAGGAAGGGATGCCATAGGCCAGCCATCACCAGGACATCCTTTCAGGTGGGGCTCCCAGAGAGCAGGGAAGTACACAACCAGCCCTGGTGCTTTGGGCTGTTTTCAAACATATTCAGCCAAATCCATCAGCCTTCATGACCATTTGGCCCACAGACAAGGGCAAGAGCAGAATTAGACCCTTTGGGATATCTTGCCCTAATGGACAAACTCATTTTGGCTACTAAGATGAAACCAACACCTTACCTGAACCCTCACTGTCTACCCTGGCCTAGCAACTTACACATCTTGGTTATCAGTGGCATTTGGCAGCCAAGGTGACTTGCTTTGAGGAATGCAGTAGAGTTCATAGGCACCATTGAGCAAGGTCAGTGGATGAGGACAACTGGTCCACCAAAGGGCCACAGAAGCAGAGTGGGGAGACAGTGGGCAGGCACTTCCCTGGCAGCCTCATATTATGAATTCCAGACTCTGGCACCCCAAACAAGCTCAGCTGCCTGGCTGAGAAGTTCTTTGTACTTTGCACAGTTCACTCACACACACACACACACCAGTGTTTTTGTTACACACAAATGTCAGCGTGTGATTTTGGATGAATTTGACAGTGATGACAAACTATGATGCCTGTGTTTCTGAGTCTTTAAATAAAAATGAACATGGAGAGGTCTTTTGTCTGGATGATGGGAGCAGTGAGGTTGGGGCAGAAGCTGAGAGGGTCTGAGCAGAAATGCCCAAGTGGATAGGAACATAACAGGGAAGGTGTCACCCTGCATCCCTCTGCTGGCCATTCCATTGGCTTACACCTCCACCACCTCAGAGAGCTTCCATGTGCAGAATGCAGGACGGTGGGCCATTAAGGAGACCAGGGTTGTCCAGACAGCTATCTGCAACACATGCCGGAGATCCACTGGCTAGACAGTAACTATTGAGCCACAGGCTGGTGGGTGTGCAGGACCTCTAGCTCCCCTCCAGTGGCTCATTTGCCTGGAAGGTAGAGTGACTTTCTGCAGATGACTCAACTTCCTATCTTGTAGGAAAACATTTTGTGTTGGTGGTTATTCAAGTCCATCAATTCCAGAAGTGCCTAGAATTGGCCTCCAAGACCAGCATATTCATGGCCCTGCCCTTGTCTGTCTGGCCCTCAGAGTACCCAGGCTGTGGGGAGCTGTTCTCTGAAGCACAAGGAGAAAAGTGCCTGGAATCCACCAGCAGGAGTGGCTTCAGGAGACCACTGACCTCTAGAAAAGTGGGCCTGTCCTAAATCAGCCAGACGGACCAATGCCTGGTAGAAGGCTGCCCCACCAGCCTAAAACATGACAGGGCACTTCCTGAAATAGGCTTTCACTGACTTCTTAGCCAAGACACCCACCCGTATTCTTTGACTATCACATATATACCTGAGCTGGAAGAAAGCTTAGCAAGGAGCCATTTTACTCTTCTATAAAAATTAAATGACTGTATATAAGCACAGGTTATGAGTGGGGTATACAGTGAGAGCCCAGCACTCTAATAAGGAAGTATATACTACACACTCACTTAACCCTCCCAACCCTTTCACTTTCAGTGAAAGATACTTTTATCCTCATTTTCTAGATGAGCAGTCAAGGTTAGAAGAGGTGAAGTAAATTGCTTCAGGTCAGATAGCTTATGAAACACTATGACCCAGACTCAAGACTACTCCAACTCCAGAAGCTGGACCCTAAACCCTGTATACAAATAAAATGTCAAGCATGAGAGCATGAGAAGAAGGGGCCATAGGACATGTAGGCAGTGCCCACCACAATTTGACAGGAAAGGGTGCCTGGAAGTAAAATGTGCAAGTCTTTGGGGCAGGGATGCCCTGACTATAAAGGTGGATATGGCAACCTCACAGAGCCTGGTGCCATTTTACTTTCAAATCATGTAACCTCTTTCCATGCTCTGAATCCATGCTCACTGAGCAAATAGGACTAACTTCCCTTTGCTGGTTTAATACCCACAGGGAGAATAGTGTTCTAATCAAGAAAGCTCAACATTCATCCTGCATAGTGGACATTCATCACCATCCACCAGTGAGCTGAACCTCTGGCTGAGGCCTCAGTCCCTGTGGATTTTATGAGGAGTCACATCTCTGCCTCTAACTTACAAGGTGGCATATCTACACTGGGGGAGCACTGGGTCTTCTTTCCCGGGGAGAAGCTCCATAGGCCAGCATTCATTTAAATGTCTGCATGAACTGGCACAGCCACTCTAGAAAACCGTGTGGAGCTTCCTCAAAAAAATTAAAAATAGATCTACCCTATGACCCAGCAATAGCATTGCTAGGAATTTACCCAAGGGACACAGGAGTGCTGATGCCTAGGGGCACGTGTACCCCAATGTTTATAGCAACACTTTCAACAATAGCCAAATTATGGAAAGAGCCTAAATATCCATCAACTGATGAATGGATAAAGAAGTTGTGG